TGCCGGGTAATTTATAAGTTCAAACAGTAATATAAGGCAAAGGATGATTTTCCTATATTTCCTTATATTCTCATGAAGCTCTGTTCATTGTCGCAGTTCGCAGTAAACGACACTGTATAAAACGTCTCATAATGTGCTTTCTTCAAAATTTAGTAGAGACGGTGGTTCAGATTCTTTCTTCTCGGTTCTTAGCATGTATATATTTCCGTGATGCAGATTTGGTTCAAAAGACATAAACTACTTTCCTCACATTATTTATTAGTACCTCATTTTTTATCCGTCTCAGGCTAAATAACTGGACGACTTTTTGGTGGATTCCTCATCGACTGAAGACCATGTCCGTCAAATCGTTCCTATGACTCCCATTTTTTGGCCGTTGACCAGTGTTCTTTGCAATGGGAACGCTGGCAATGAATTCTGAACACTGAGCAGCTTTTAGTCAATGCGAGATTTCGACCTATGAAGAAGAAAAAAAGAAGATTTAATGGTTTAATTTTGCTTCAAGAATCAATACAAATTTATATTTTAATGTGTAGATCATCTGAATTGTATATGTGCAAAAAATACATATGCGAAACATGAAAAGTTCAACAGTTAAACGATAGAAAAGCAGCGTTTGAACAAGGAGGCAGTTCGGTGATGCATGAACGATGCAGGTTTCTCTGTTACAAACATCTGAGCTTCTTTGAGCCCGACAATTCGGCACAAGATGATGAAGGGTACCACGGATTCATAGGATGCCACTGTTCTCATCGAACCAACATAAGGACCGACTTCTCGTAATGACCATCTGGAATGGCTTGTATCCAAATGTCTGTCGAAGGAATGTTCAGGGCAGCCAGCAAAACCTTTCGATTGAGTTTAGTAGCCTCGGTTACAAAAAAGCTAGCATTTCCATCTTATCAGATCTTTGACATCTAATTCTCTCTTTTACAAAGGGAATCCGAGCAAGCTTATGACGCACCGTTATCGTTCTTTGGAGGGTGGCACAGTATATTGTAGTTTGTTCCGTCGTTCCGTGGATTTACAAGGTGTAATTGTACAGTTTCTTTGCTTCTGTATGCGAAGGGGACATAGGGGACAGACCACTGATCCGTGATATCTGAACTCCTGTCATGCGTGGAGACTATGGCATCTGTCATTGTTGGGTCGAGCAAATGCACGTTCGAATTCCAAACAAGATGGTACGGCCCTCAATTGAGAAATTTTACACCCCATTTGGCATTTTTATGTGCACCAGTAATCATTCCGACATTCTGAGGCAACTGCCAGAAATAGCAGTTTTCGATGCCACCGGTCAAAACAGTGTCGCTTGCCCTCTACCAGACTTATACTGCGTGATTGCACAGTCCGATTGCTGCTATATGCCAAGAGAACCTTTAAAGCAGATTAGGCATATATGGAATTTAAGCACTGGAGATGAGTTTGGACATTTTCGGTTTGTACTCCAGCGGCTATTGCTTATCGA